AATATGTTCGGCCGAACACATTCGGGTGGCGTTCGGCCGAACACCCGAACATGTTCGGACGTTCGGAAAAGCTCCGAACATGTTCGGTGTGCTACACAGCCTTGCATATGCACTGCTGGGGTCCTCCGCAAAAAAAAGACTATTCAACAAGGAATACGTGGGCCCAATTCTTTTTCTGTGGGGAGGTGCACCATTGGCTACCTCAACCAGCCTTCCCCAATTTTTTTTTAATACCCTATTTATTGGGGTGCGTCGCATCACGTGCGCTTGCATGCTTACACGTGCGTTATGCGCCTCACGTGCGGAGCTCGGGCACACGCGATACGCCGCAGGTATGGGTTGGAGTATAGGGGGAGTATAGGGGTGATATAGGGGATATTGGGGGGTTTAATAAGGATGTTGGGGGCGGTTTGGGAGTGTTACGTTGGTGTATGCGGGTATTGGGGGCCGCTAAGCGGGTGTGGGTGGGGTTATTAGGGGTTCCGGATCCCAAAAAAAAAAAAAAAAAAGTGCGGGGTGCCGATGATCCCCGACTACTAGGTGTCGACCAACCGATCGGTCGGCGGGTCGACAGCCGACCAGTCAAGGGCCGTCGACCGTCGGGGTGTGCAACACTGGTCGGCTGCTTTTCTGGCCTGCTCCTTCTCTGCAAACCGGTCCTGCAGTGCCTGCAGAAATCCAGCCACCCCCCGCCTCTGCGCCCAATCAGACATTTCCATCCCCTGCTCGTTGGAGGTAGAAGTGCACCATTTTAGTACTGTCCTCTCCAAGCGAGCCAGGATGGCACTCACCTTCACACCCTCATCACACTTGAACCCACTCAGGTAGGTTCGTTGTGCAATTACCCAATCTGCAACAGCCACCTTAGGGTCCTCACCAGAGAACATAGGAGGAGGAGTCAGCTTGGGCCACTGCATATCAAAAGGAGATGAGGGATGTGAGGCGGTTGTTGACTTGGGTGTAGAGGGAGGAGATGTGTGTCCGGATTGTGGGGGTGATGAAGGTCTCCCTTGAGAAGGTCTAGGAGATGGAGGAACTGTCAGAGTGGTGGGGATCTTTAAGTGTGTAAAGATCAGGTCCAGTTTGGAAGAGATGTCATCAAGCTTCTTTGAAAAAGTTGAGTGGCTGCTCTCCAGACTGGTAATCCTATCGTCCCAGTTAGTAAAATAAAAACGGTGAATATCATCCTGCAGGAGGATGAATTCAACCATGTCCTTGTTGTATTGACTGGAACTACCACTTGTCCTGATTTTTCCCACATCTGCAATCAGCAGCTTTCTCCTGGCCTTCTTTTGAGTTGCTCATTCTTTCTTCTTCAGCTCAGCCTTTAGAGACTCAACTGCCTGGGCCTGCTGGTGGAGTTTCTCCTGCTGGCGGAGTTTCTCCTTCTGGGCCCGCAGTTCAGCCTCTAAAGGGTCAAGCGGAATTTGAGGGTTCACCTCAGAAGCCTCTCCCTTCCCTGCCTCTGCCATCACCACAATTCAGATAAATAAAATAAAACAATTAACAGAAGACCAAACAGGAGGTAACAGGAATTGGGTTTTCTCTACAGTACTTGCCCAATTGTTGTCCCCTGATTGAAGAAAGGAAGTTGGTTAGTCTGAGCAAGTGAGTGCTCAGTCTCTGCAGACCACTTGAGGGCCAGTGTCAGTTAAGAGTAAACTCGACAAAAACCAATTTCACGATTTTCCAATCCCTGCCCTGACACAACAATTGCATGCAACAATTGCAAATCCTGCGTCAATAAGTTGCAAGATGTAGTCCTAAACTGGTTAGTAGTGATTAGAATTTAGACAGAGTGACTAATTAGTGATAGGCATGTATCCACTGATGACCAAGGTGTTGCGATTTTCAGGGGATCCTATTTTTAGACCTACCCTACTGACTTCACCACTATATGACCCTGTATGCCATATGGCGAATCACAACAAATACTGTAACTGACTCATAACTTCAAATTACACTGTGCGATTTTAGACACTGACTGTGTACTGAATTGCGATGTACCAAGGACTTACAAAATTGAATTCTAACGAACAAAATTGAAGTTATGACTGACCCTAGCCTAGCCAAGCTTTAGCTATGTAAGTGCAGAATTCAAATTTTCATTATCACTGACAACAGGACCCTGAGTTCACCAATTCACTACACAGTATGGATCGCAATATTGTAAAGCACTCACAGACGAAATTTGAGCAAGGAAGGAGGTCAAACAGGGTTAGTAGAAGTCAAAGATGATAGGTAGGGGGAATTGGCTATGGTTGTCCCACAGTCTGAAATTCGATTTTCAACTGTCAACCCACTGACAGACCATATTTCGCTATTGTTACGATCCCGGACATTTCCAAAGTGCAAATTCACAATGAAAGACAATGCCACCAAATTGCGAAGGAAATGAAAGCACTTGCAAAGAGATAAAGACCGGAGGAGAGAGAAAGAAGAAGAAGAAGAAGAAGAAGAAGAAGAAGAAGAAGAAGAAGAAGAAGTACACCAGCAAGACCAATGACAATTTCCCCCTTCTCTCTCCACCTTCCTCCTCCTCCTTCAATCCGCCAATCTTATTCTTCTCTCAACAATAATAATAACAATGAATGGATGTACCAGAATCAATATCC